ACTCGACCTGACAGATGAGCAGATGAGAAAAGTATCAAATGATGTGTCTAGTTGTGATTCTTGATCCACCGATGAAAAGAAAAGTCACGCTTTCAGTTGATGCATTTGTGCTAAATAAGGGAACACATAACAATTTATCAACAAAACCCAAGATGACGAGAGGTGCTTATGTCCGAAGGGTAAAACATAATTTCCCCTAACAGAGTAACTATAATTAGATTGATCAATCTATAGTTTAGTGTTTCCTCTTACATTTACACACGATGCTGATGGTAGATTGTTCTTTTCTTTGTGGGTGACAATAACTATGGCATGTAATTCTGGGTCTGCTTTTTTTTCAGTCATTTTTCCTTTTGAGAAGAAAAATTTCAAATGTATCAAAGAGCACCAGGGGAATGCACCCCAATACATAAGTATTTACAATCTTTTCAATCATATTACTCTTTGATGTTTGATATCTTTTTTTTTCTCCCTGACATAGGCCTTGAAATTGAGTGATGATCTCCATCTAAATGAAATAGATTGTGTTCGCTTGCTTGTTTCTGCCAACCAAGAGGTAGATCTCTTTTCCGTTGTTTCTTCTAATTTTCCACTAAATGGTCTAATATTTTGCCTTATGATCTTATTTTGTGTTTATTGATTTACCTAAAATAGTGGAGCTTAATGGGACGAGAACCGTCAGAAATTTTACGTCTTGCAGCAGGATTATGGTATACTGAGAGACGTGATCTAATAATGGCACTTTATACACTCTTGAGGGTAGTTTCATATCTCTTGCATCCTTTTATCTTTTGAAAGTAAAATTATAATATGTATTGCTATAAGCACCAGCATGGTGCAAATCATATACAATTATTTACAGTTTAATCCTCCGAACAGAAAGTGTTCCTAAATATTTAAATCATAATCGGAGGATGACTCGAAAGCAAAAATTCTAGGGTCCTAAGCCATCTATTATTCAGTTTATTAATGCGTCCTTTTATGTTTCTGTTTATTGATTTTTTTTGGCATATGGCACTTTTCCTAAGAATACTTCACTTCTGTTTTCTAGGCAGTTGTTCTTGATCAGGGACTTGATGTTGATCTTGTGGCTGACATTCAAAAGTATTTGGAACATCTTATTCGAGCAGGGCTTAGACAACGGTTGATTTCTCTTATAAAGGTGTGAAGTGCATGGAACGCAAATTCTCACTTTGATATGATTTTTCTCAATTAATCTTTTTGCCATAAATTAGTTAGTGATATATATTTCAAAAAAAGAAAATTAGTTAGTGATATATTGTTTAAATATAAATTTTTTTCTAAAATAATTTTGGGTCTTACCATATTATTGTTTTCATGGAAAAACATAGTATATTAACAAGAGTTCCTGGGGCATGCTTTCCATAATACCAAGGACACACACACACACAAAAAAAACAAGAATGAAGATATCTGGAAATTTTCTTCTGTGGAGGATTTTTATGTTTCTGCAGCTTATGCATTAAATGAATTAATCAACTCTATTTTGGGTGGGCCCCTGCGAATATGAAGTGGATGTTGCAATGGTGCTCAGAATTTTAGTGATCCGAGGAGAACAGTGAATTGGCTTAAAATTCAATATGCGGAAAAAGTTTTGACGTATGATATCAGAAAACATGCTCTTTAGCTCATAGTGCTTGGAATACCAGAAATCCATATGTGCAAACAGTAATCACCTTCTGCTCCCATTCTTTGCATTCGTTCTCTTAACTATTATGATATGAACCTAACAGCAACTGAAATCCCAGCTCACTCTTGGATTCTATAAACTAAACTGGTTAAAGAGTTTCGGTAATTTGCTTCAGGCTAAAATGTCATAAGCAGCTGCATATTTCGAAACTCATTGTTTCTGCTATTCTGTGACACACACACAAACACAGAGAGTAATGTACAGATTATTCATTTCGAAAGTATAAAATGTTAATATAGGAATTCCTTTGAATTTCTTTGATGTTGTCATTTCCTTCGTCAGGTTAATTCTTTGGGACTCATCATCATCTAGAACTATGATTAGTTTGTCTACTTAGGCATTTGGGTTAAACCTAGATGTCACGCACAAAGAAAGAAATTCTTATTCATGATATTTAAGATTTTGGTTGTATCACACTATAAGCATATTAAGACAAGTATCAAAGTAGGTTTACTTAATAATTGGGTTGATATCTAAAGTGAGATATAGAAAAAATTTGTGCTACTTAGATATAAAGTCTTAATATGACTATAAACACAGAATCTTAACAGAAAAAAAAAAAAATGAAAAGAATTTAAACAATAAATAAAATCCTAATACTAATAAAGTTGTAATAACATCATCAAATAATAAACCTATCTCCTAGTAGTATTCTAATATGGTAACTCACAATGTTTTCTGTCACATTAGTGTGTAGAGGTCTGCGATTTTTATTTATTTTGTTATAGTATGGTTTTGATTTCCATCTCTCTTCATAGTATGAACCAAAGGAGTTTTACTTAATAACTGGACTGATCTCAAAAGCGAGATTATGGAAATATTTATGATGCTCAAATATAAAATTCTAGTACAACTATAATCACCAAATCTTAATAGAGAATTTAAAAAAATTTAAATTATAAATAAAATCTTTATACTGATAGGTTTCTAATAACGTAAAGAAATAGTAAAATTAATCTCCTAATACTGTTCTAATATGGTTCCTATCAGTGATCTCTATCACATTAAAATATGGAGGTCAAAGTTCTGTTAGAGTATGGTTTTTGATTGCCATTTTGCTTCATAGTATGTGCCAAATTGCTTTATCTTTAGGAACTCAATCGTGATGAACCAGCTGGTTTAGGTGGGCCCCTCTGTGAACGCTATCTTCTTGATTCTAGAGGTGCTCTTGTTGAGCGGCAAGCTGTGGTTTCTAGGGAAAGACTAATCCTTGGACATTGCCTTGTGCTTTCAGTTCTAGTTGTGCGGGCAGGTAAGTTGCATTTCATCATTCTAAAATGTCTTCATTTTCTGGTTGTTGTAGTCAAGGTTCGTTGCAGATTTTATTGTGTTTATTGTAAAAGGTGACTTTCATATTGAAGCATTTTGCTGGTCATGTAATTGATCTGTGGTCTATTTTTGCAACTTTGTGCAGTCAAAAGTTTAGTCTTAGTCTTTGCTTAATGGATCTAGTCTTGTAGGTGTTGAAAGTATTGTCACACACATAGTTGGAGGGTATCCAGTGGCATCTTCAAGATAAAAATAACATGCGCAAGAAAGATAATTTGGATAGATGGAAAAAGGTGTTTGGCAAAGAGGATGGTGGCCTTGGCATTGGGAGTCTTCATTATAAAAGTTGGGTCTCTTTTAACTAAATGGTTATGGAAGTGTCCTTTGAAATTGAATTCTCTTTGGCACAGAGTCATTAAGAGAAAATTTGGTCTTTACCAAGATGGATGGGGAAACAAACAAGAGCCCTTGGATGTGTTTCAACTCTTTTATACTTATTTTCTATCTTTAATTTATCTGAAGATATTGGACGGTTCTCACATTCTTTTCTGGAAGGACTCTTAGATTGATAATATTTCCTTAGCTTCCTGTTTTCCAAGACTTAACAAATTGTCCAGAAATCATCACTCCCGTATTTCCTCTTTTTTGGTTTGGTCTGTTGGCACCAATTCTTGGAGCTTCTCCTTCGTTCAGAAATCTCAATGATATGGGAGCTGTGGAAGTGACCCATGTTCTTAAGCTTTTAGATTCTGTAATTCTTTCCAACAACACCTTGGATTTGGTCCTTGGAATTCTCAGGTTTTGGTTTATGTGAGTCTTTTCCACACTTCCTGATTGGCAATCCTGCTACTTAAAAAGTTTTTTTTGAACTGCGGTTTTAGGTAGGCTTAATACTATGATATCTTCAAATTCACAAACTGGATCATGCCTTATCAGCTGGGATCTTGGTGATGTGTAATAGAGATGCCAAGGCTCATGACCACCTATTATTGTGGTGTTATGTGGCTTGGAGAATGTAGAACTGTGTAATTATCACTTTTTTGGGTTTTCTGGAGTTCTCTTCCTGCAAAATATTGAGTCTGTTCTCTCTCTTATTCTGTTCGGTCTGGCACTGGAGAGGGTGGTCAAGTCTCTCTATTGTGAGGCAACCTTTGCTGGAATGTGGGTGATTTGGCTAGAGATGAATGCAAAAATTGTTCGAGATAACAGTTCGCCTTTTCCGACTTTTGGAGGGTAAAATCTGCTTTTTGGCTTCTTTTTGGACTGCCAACGGATTTTTAAGGGCACCACTTTATTAGTTTGGTATAAAAATTGGCTGACTATTTCTTTAGATAAAAGAAGTTTACTAGAGATAGAGAAAGAAAAAGCTACAAACACGCTGAATAAGGCATCCTCCAAAAATTATCAAAAAAGCAGTAAGATAAAGGACAGAATGTTGACAACCTACGTGCTAAAATAATTGCTTCCCAGTTTTGATGGCGCTTCGAGATGCTTGTGTTAGAATAATCCCATGTGCTTTAGCCCATAAAGTTGCAAGAAAATTTAACGTTGTCCACAACTTGTAGAATAAGGTGAATCAGTCATTGAATATCCTACAGTTCCATGCAAGCCATATTCTCCATAGCCCTGCAAATATTACCTCTTTCTTTTATTTAAAAAAAATTACCCTTTCCTTGGGAGTTTAGCTTCTTTTAACTATTCTTTCTACTATTTAGCTTGTTCTCTTTTTTCTCTCTTTAGGGTCCTTTGTTTTTTTCTCTTTTGGAGGATACCTATCCTCTGTATTTGTATCTCCTTTCTTTCAATAAAATTTATTATTTTCTTAGAAAAGCTGCCTGGATGCATGCAAACTCTTTTCTTTTTGGGACTGGAGGTATACACATACTTGCATATTAAAAGAACTAACATATATTTGCGTCACCATAAGTAGTTTCATATAATATGAAAATTTTTTGGTCCTTGATTCTTTTGACTTTTCTTACTTGAACTTTCAACATTCATTGGCTTGGATATAATATGGAATTCTCTGTGCCTACATCACAGCTTATACTGATTGCTCTTACCCACAGTCATCTGTCTTATCAAGTTTGTATCAAATCTGTTTCAATGTTCTCTGCCTTCATGTTTGAATGACATTGACTCGAGTGAGAGTAGAACCATGCTGTTTATTGTTGTATTTTCAGGAAAATATTTGCTCATTTTTCAATGCTTCATAGAAATTTGCTTTTTCCAGGTCCAGAAGATGTAAAAGACATCTTTTTGGCTTTAAAAGACAGTGCTACCGAACTAAGTGAGAGAAATGGCACGTTAAAGCATCAGGTATGTCCTTATTTTTGTTGCTAACTGAAATTGAGGAATGTCATAGCCTGATTTTTATAATTGTGGGAAATTTCCCAGATTCTTTCATGTATATGTGTACATCAATATGCGCCTCAATACATTTTGCTATCCAGTTAAACTATGTTGGGGTCACAGCGATTAATGTCTTTTTTTTCTTTGTTTTTTCCTCGTCTTGCAGATAACATTTAGTCTTCTTTTTTCTCTTGTGATTACTTTCACATCAGATGCTCTTGGCACAGTTCGTGATAGATCATCTGTCTTATCTCGTGATGCTTCATTTAGAAAAGAATTCCATGAAATTGTAAGATGATAAGTGATAGATTTTCTACCATTGTTGCTGACTTTTCTTTTGAGATTTTCGACTTGCTAATGCCTTGCATGCTTTAGGTGATGGCTACCTGCACCGATCTAAACGTGGAGGGTTTTGTTGGTGGTGTAAGGCTTGTTTGGGCTGTACATTTGATGCTGATATATGACGAATTTGCAGCATCTGAAACAGTTTCAAATATGTTATCAAATGACTTGGGTTATATAAAATCTTGCTTGGATTCCGTTTTCTCAAATAACGTTTTCCAGTTTTTAACTGACAAAGTTGTTGGTACTGCAGCCTACCAGGTTAGTCCTCACAAATATTTTGTTTATAACTATGAAAAAAAAAAATTTTGTTTTCTCCAACTTAGGGCTTTTAGACTAAGTAGCAAATGAACTCACTGGCCATGTGGTGCAGTGGTGGTATCTCACATTTAAAGCGGTGTCTGTAATGTTGCGGGTTCTGTACCCAAATTTATGAAGGGTACTCCCCTAACCAAAAAAAGATGTAACCTAATTCAATTTCCAAGCTCAAATTTATTTAATAAACTACTGTAAGTGCAGAAGTAAATGTTTCTATTGAGGATAAATACTCTCTCCATTTCTTCCATTTCAACTATATTATTTGATATTTTCAAAAAAATAAATGCTGATGTTCCCTTTAGAATGCAGC